AATGGTAATGCACTGTTGAATTTTCGATATATATTGTAAACTAATGTTTCTACCGTAACAGTGGTCAATGAACGATTCAGTGCCAAACGTGTGAGAAAAACCAAGTAAGTAACTTTTTGAGTGTATAACTATTTATTGAGTTAAAGCTGTACAAGATTCTGATTATGTTTGACTAACTTTTATATTTCAGGCCATCATCATCAAAATTGCGTCTTCTAAGAATCAAAAGCAAAGTAGTGGCTCCATCAGAACTTGCAACAGAGTTTTCAAAAACAAAAACCACACTTGCCAAGAGTGAAAGGAGGCTGTTTCGTTTGGAAAGGAAGGAGCAGAATATGATGATGACCAACGTGAAGACCAAAAGAAAAGAAAAAGCAGAGAAAAAAGTTACTCTATCCATAGGAACAATGGGCATGAATATGATGATGACCAAGCTGAAGAACAAGTTGTCAACTCAGAATACATTGCCCAAGAAGCTGTGGCGCCACTTCCTAAGCCAGATGATGGTGTCTATCTTGTCGGGATTTCTTTCAAAGAGATTTCGGATGCTGCCTGTTTTGAATGTCTCATTCGTGCTGATTATGCGGCGCTTGACCCTTTTTTCAAAGGCAAGATAAAGTCCTCAAAGACCATCATGGCTGCTTTTCCAGATTTGGAGTTTTTTTCCTGCCTGCTCCTATGTGGGTGCAATTCAATAAGTTTTAGCTCTATTCTCATTGCTACTACGTAATTAATAGTTTTTACAATATTCCACATATTTTCACATCAACTAAATGCATAGTGTAGTGACTGTAATCCCTGTTGAAGAAAAGGCACTGGTCTTCTATAATTCAAGAACATGTACACAATCGAATACAAATTTTGATCACCACAAGGGCAATATATAGGAAATCAGAATCATTTCAAAATAATCACAGTTAGATGCAAGGAAAAAACTTACTACAAAACAAACAATCATGGTTTAGAGTTAGATGCCACAACCTCTAGTTTTAAACCAGCTTTGAAGTGACTTGTTTTGAGGGGAAAAAAGGCCGAGCGTTATGATATCTGTTTATAAGTGGGAATGTAGAAGTAAACTGAACGACTTGTAAGTTGTATATCATGGTTCTATGTGTTATTTACACGGGTGCCTAAATATAGTCATTCAAAGGCCATCCAATACTTATATCAGACAACAATTTCATCTCTTTTGGACTTTGGTAAGAAAATTATATTAGTCAAGTTTCAAAAAGCAAAATCCATCTCCCTGAAGAGAACTCAGTTGCTTAACCAAACAATAATCCAACACTGGATGTTTATTCCAAAATGACGTGATCATGAAAGTGATGATTGATGAAACCTCATTGCAAGGACTCTGCTTGTCATGCCCAACAAAATGAGCTAGAAGGTCCATATGAGGCTAAATGAGTAAAATCACCAATCATCATGAAGTTTCGTGGTCATGTCATCATTTGGGATCGAAGCAGATACAGAAAACACACCTGTTCTTTTATACCAGTGATACGGTTGAAGACAATGGAGCGAGCTACAACCCCAAGCTTGATCAGATATGAGACAGCACCACCACCAGGGATTTTGGGAATTTTAACATTGTTGAGATCCATCTTTCTAGTAGCTGGAAAATTAAAATGGAACAAATAAACAGTATCAAGCAATAATAATGTGCATGTCAATTCCCACCAGAAACTCAGCAAATGCGGCACTTCATGCATCCTTACCCAAGTGCTGAAATGTAAATGTGTTCTTTGACTGGGTTTTAAGACATTAATTATTTGTCTCTAGTTCCACAATGTACAGCAATCCAATGTATGCCACAATATAACAATCTAACAGAAAGTGTTTTGCAAATGGGAGACTAAGTAGGTTTATTGCAAATAAAGCAACCAAAGACGATCTAAAGCCAAATGAGCTGCTACCACCAGCATCAGGTGCTATTTTGCTTTACTGAACTCTTAAAATCAATATGAAAATATAACAAGTCAACTTTTTCTGTATTTCAACCCCAATTACACTCCATCTGCAAGAGATTGTTCGCTTTCATTATCTTCCTGTGATGAACATTAGCATTCATCTCTAACAATTTTCATTTCACTCTATTACCAGTGCATAGTCATAGAAGAAGTATTTAGGTCTCAAACCAGCGACGGGGAGACATCTCGCTTATCTAATCGAAGGTTTAAACCCTCAAAACTTCAATACAGTGATACCAAACACCGTTTACGATGATAATGCATAGCAATAAAACTACACACATTTTTCTTAATTTTAAGAACAGAAGAAAAAGATTCTATGAAACACCGACATGCCAAACCTTAGAATGAAGGAGGCGACGAGAGAGGGGGGTTGCGCGCTCCGACGGGGCTGCTGTGCGGCGGGAGTCAATGCTCAGATTGGTTTCGGGGTTTTGAGAGCTCACAGAGCTTTCTACGATTAGGGTTCGGTTATCTTGTTTGGGTTGTCTTGGAGTTAGGGGAGAGCATCTGTTCGGTTCGGCCGGTTTCGGCCCAAAACTGAAATAACCGAAAATTAAAAGGACTCATAATAACCATCCGATCTGAACTGAATTTAATCCAGAACCGAAAAAACCAAACCGAGAAAAAACCGATCGGGTTCGGTTAGTTTGAAAAAACCGAACTTTTCATTCTAAAAACCTAATGCCTACTGCAAATATTGAAGCATTTCTCAAATTTTTAAAGCAAAGTGATAGCAAGAAAATCTGTCCACAAACATAAAACATGGGAGAAATGCATCTAATAGAATAATAATTAGCAACAAAAATGAATGAACAAACCTAGTGATTGCTGATGGGTGACGCCGGAACGGATATGGCGATTGCCGATTAGATCTTGGCGTCGGTTTGGGAACGCCGGAACCGGGAGATGGTGATTGCCGATTGGGGAGGACCGAGACTTGGTGATTGCCGGGAGATAGGCGTCGGTTTGGGAACGCCGGAACCGGGAGATGGTGATTGTCGATTGGTGAGGACCGAGAGATGGTGATTGCCGGGAGACGGTGATTGTCGATTTGGGAACTGGGATTTGCCAATTTGGGGGAGACGGGGCTGGGACTTGGGATTTTGAGATTGGGTCACACAGGAAAAATGAGAATTGGGTTTTTTAAGTGGGCTGTAATTTAAAAGATTTGGTTTGGGCTTACATATATTTAATATACATGTTATGAGCTCGGTTATTCGGTAGGTTTCGGTTAACATTGCCCAAAACCAAAACCGAAACCGATAACCGAATTAACCGAATATTTTAGACACTAAAACCGAAAACCGAAATCGAATTCAAAATGGGGGTCGGTTCGGTTAAATTGTATCGGTTAATCGGTCGGTTCGGTTAAATTGCTCACCCCTACTTGGAGTGTTGGGAAAGCTAGTTTCCGACTGTTGCCCAGTGCCCACTCCGGGTATTAGATACAGCTCAATAGTTCACCCGAGAAATACCCGAGTCCCCCGACTCCCAATAACAAATGGATAGCCACTTTACCTAAGAATGTGCATAAATAACTATAATTGAGTTTACTTAGAATAGAAAATAATTTAAAGAAATACTTGTCAAATTAGTTGGAGGTGCAGTCGTTCAACAATATTATAAATGGATACTGAGGTGGCAGTCCCCGATAGCGCGGTCCAAAAGGCATAATCTATGGCCGCAAAAATTATTTACTTTGGACATTATTGTTTTATGAAAAATTTTTAAATTTTTTTGTGAATAAAGTCCAAAGCATTAAAGAATTGAGTGCATGGATAAACATTCAAAATTGGCCCATACCGCAAGAACCTCTTCGCGTAAACGTTTGCTTCTCTATGCAAACGTTCATGCATGTTCATGATTTTCGTTTCAATAAATATAGAATCATGGCTATGTTTAGGCATTGATTTTTGAAGTGTTTGTTATTGATTAACGTTTGATCTGATGAAAGTATTTTGATATATCTCGAAATAACTTTGATATGAAAACATTTTATCCTTGTTATAATCTATCAAGTCGGTCATCTCATTCTTTGTTCACAAACTTTTAACGTCGTTTCGTATCGTTCTTCGTCCATATAAAGTTCCTACAGGATGATGGCGGAATTGGGTGACGAAAATAGGTCGAATGCGAGTGGAGGTTTTTGTCACACATCATTCAACCGTCCATGTTTTTTTTTAAAAAGAAAAAAAAAGATATACACTTCTAATCTTCCGTACATTGTGAGTTGTCCCAAGTTAAAACAAAACACTCCTCATCATGAACCAAATAACATTTCGTCTTTCTCCTCTCGTGTTTCCTGTGAAGCTTCATTCTTTTAGGAGGTGGGGTTGCTCTTTTAAGAGGTAGGGTTGCGTTGAGTCTTGCTTGTTCATACGAAGTTCTTCCAACCTAGGGGCGAAATTAATTGTTCAATGTTAGTGTGCTATTTAATTGTTAAATTTGCTTTTTATTTTTCAAATTTAAAATCTGATTTAATAGATATACGATATTTTATTTCAAAATCTCTACTGATTATGTATTTTTTAAATTCCCCTACTCGTTGCATTCACATAGTTTGTTTGTTATGTTGTTAGCTTCATGAAATTAATATTACTACACTCGTTTCATCCCCGGTTGATGAATAATTCGCATGAAATGTGATGTATGTATATGATAGTCAATATATCGAGCGGCTTATGTGAATGGATGATGGTGAAATTGCACCAGATTCAAATTGGGTGCATTGTCATCTCTACTCATTTAATTACATTAGGCACGGTCAAAGAGTAATAAATGGAACAATTAAAGTACTCTTTTGGTAATAGTTTTTGTGTTTAAGTGTAGTGTTTCAAATATTTTATTTAAAAACAATGTTTAATTTTTTTAAAATTTAATATGCATCATTAACATTCGAGACAATAACGCTAATTCAAATAAGAAATTATCCTACGTAGAACTCTGAGTCACTCAATATCTTCCAAGCATACTCTCGACCTTTTATTATATTCTAATATTTTTAATCACTTTTAAATATTTGTTAAACTTAAGTTATTCACATAGTCACTATTCCTTATACGTGCGGCTCATCCTCATTCATGCGTCTCATACGTGCGGGGACATCATCCTACGCCGTTTACCATAGCTCTAAGAGATCTTCCTTAACGCAGTTTACCAATGCATAATGTCTAAATAAGTTCGTATGAATTAAATTAAGTTCCATATTTAACGTCCATGTTTGACATGTGTGTTTTGGTGTAATAGATTATTCATGAAATCAGTCATACATTTTTTTACAGTGTGAAATTCATGCATAAAAACAGGCATACATATTTTTGGCAATGTGGAATTCATACATGAAAATAGTGTGGAATTCATACATAAAAAGAGCCATACATTTTTGGGTAGTGTAGAATTCATACATGAAAACAGTCATACACTTTTTGACAATATAGAATTTATACATGAAAACACTCCCACATAAATCAATGGACATAACACTCCAACATGAAATTAAGGACAAAATAATACACCTACACACTGCTGTAAGATATAACAACATATATCAATTCTATGTTGCCACATTAAATACTCACATATAAAAAATCACACTGCCCACAACACAGTTGTAAGTGAACAAACACACTGCCCAAAATAGTCATATTTTTTGACAGTGTGTAATGAATATTTGTTGTTTAATTAAAGAAAAAAATCAGAATTACATGTACGAAACATATAACACTGCTATTTAGAGTATTTTAAGGTTTTAAGAGTACTATTTTGGTTTTTCTCCCTAATCCGATTTTGAAATAAACCTAAAAGCATTCTTTCAAGATTTTATTTTAAAAGTTCAAGGAAAGCACCACATTCCACTAATCCTACTGCGTGTTGCGATTTTCTATTGAATTTATTTTAAAACTGTTTAATAAAAATGTGGTAAGATGACTATATTATTTTATAATCAAAAAATAAAATTACATATTTAAAAATTTGGTTAAAAGATCTACAAAACTAGAAGTGACATGACTATATTATTTTATCAAATAAATATCAAAAATAGACTAACAAAGTGAATAAATTTAATCATGTGAATAGTGAATAAGGAGATTATTTTTAAACTGAGGGGTATATTTTTTAAACAGGTCTATAAAATCAAACTTTGGAAAAAAAATGTGAAGAGTATCCAATTCAATAAAGTTTGTCAAGAAAATATTCGCCATGCTTGTCGCTTCACGAAAATTTGAGAAATATGCTCAAGCTTTTGTTTTTCCTTTCATTTTCACCTATTTTCTCGTCATAGTTTTTTTATATATTCGAATTCTAACTTTTTTCTCTCATCAAGTTTAATTCTAACCGACATTAAACTTGATTATCCAAACGTGACCGAGCCAACCCAAATACTATACACTTTCCGTCCTTGTGTTTATAATGCCCACCTTTACTTTGGCTTTTTGACCAAAGATAGGGAAATTAATGGAGCCACTCACTTTGAATGGTTCCGAATGACAGTGACTTTACTTAGAGCACTTACGGTACTTTAATCATAAAATTAATGTTTACTACCCTCCATAATCACTCCAACTCCTTGTGTTCATCTTGCAATTTTTATTTATCTTAGAATCAAATTTTTTTTATTCTAAAATGAACTAAACTTGAGAGATTTATCAAATTTTGTTTATTCTAAAATCAACTAAACTTGAGAGATTGAAGGAAATGGATGTGGGTCTGGATAGAGACGGAGTGGGAGGATTTACTTGGAGTTAAAGGAAGATAAGAGTCATCAATTTTATGAACGGAGTGCCACAAGTGCCCCAAAAAACTAACACCATAATATCAGTTAGAGCCAATGACTCGAAAACCACTCATGTTATTAAAAATGCTATTAAAAGGCCAAGAGTACTAGTGTTACTTTTTTGTAACGTTTGTCACTCTCTTATCATTTAAGTGAGGAATTTTAGGATCCATCGTTTTACTAAGAGAGTTAAGGTTACAATTAAACACTATTAAGGTAGTGTTCCGTTCAATTTTTTTCTACTTACTGCTTATTCTTATTATAAACAAATCAGATTAGACTATGCTAGATTATATCAGACTTGAATGAGCTATAATAATAACTACAATTACATCAGATCAGACCAGTTTAGATTAGATCAGATCAGATGAACTGAAACCGGCCTAATAGATCCAATTCGAATATAAGATTGGGTCCTACGTGCACCCAAATCTCCAAGGCCCACGGACCGAGGTGGGAGTTTTTTTTTCTTTTCACCGTGGTAACGGAGAGATGGCGGGGAAAGAAACGGAAAGATAGAGCATCCGTACGTATGGATCATGGGGGGACCCGGTGCACCACAGATTCTCTCTCCGTTTCAACTGATCAGCGAGAGCCCCCCCCCCCAAAGACGACTTTCCATCTCTCTCTCGCTCCCACCCTCACTGCAACTCTGTTCCCGATCTCTTTCTACCCGCCGCCACCTCACTTCTTCAGCGCCATGGCCTCCGATTCTCCTCCGAATTACAGAGTCAGTCTGCTTTTTCTTCATCTCCGTCCTATTACTCGGCTCATTTTCCGCTGCGTTGATCACCTCTGTGCATCTTCGAATTCATATGAATTGTTTTTGCTGCTATCATCGTTGTGTTGATCACTCAGCTCCTTTTTTTATTTTTCATTTTCGTGATTACTAGCATGTGCTTTCATCATTTCTAGCTTCCAATTTTTCGGTTAATTGCGGTTTAGTTAGGTACATATATGGTGGTTTGACCTTGCTCCGGAATAGAAGATGTAGGGTTTTTAGGGGTTTCTTTTCAAATGGATGAAAAATAAACCTTTATCCAAACATGGATTTTGGACAGGGACCAAGTTCTCATCTATATACTTATCTGCATATTCAGTCCTCGAAGGCGATGATGCCTTGTGGGCTTGTGGCTGAAAATTGATTCTTTTCTGCTTACATATAATATGATATTGCATTGATATCTGTTCCCGGATATAGCATAGACTGCATTTTTCCTTTGACTAAAGCAACGGCATGTGAATGCATGCATGCATAATCCTCTTTGCTCATCAGTGATTAGTCACTACTATGTTTATCCTATTTCAATACTGTGAATTGGGTGGATTGCCAGAAATGAAGGCCTTTTGTAACCATTTTTGACAGGAACCATCTGGTGAACTAGGCGATGATACTTTGAAGGTGTTGCAGTTCAGAATAAATCAACTCAAGAAGCAGATTCAATATGAGAGAACTCTTTCAATAAAAGTACTTGTTATTTTCCCATTCATTGAGGCTGCAACTCTCTCTTTGTTCCATTTGATGTATGATTAGTCCACTCGGGCTGTATACCGATTGGGGGAGTCTTGTGTTTCTAATAGGCAAATGTTGAAGAGAACATTGGGAGGCTAGACCCTCACGTTAACCATTTTTTGGAGCTAGCTGGGTCCAGAATCGATGCTTCATCATTAGACAACAGCCAGCCGGGTGATATGCTCTCTTTTAGAATTGCAAATCCCCTCTGCAAAGTTAGTGGGCTTATCCAAGAGTCTAGAGAGAGAGACTGTGCTACTAGCAGTCAAGAAGTGGTGTGTGTGGTAACTGCCAAGCTTCCATCCGTCCAGAAGCTACCTCCATATACGACTTGGGTGTTTTTAGACCGGTACTGAACAGTCATATTGATGTTTTATATTTTATTCTGTTTGGTTTTATTTCAATTTTCAATTTCACGCGGAAGTACTTTTCAAAATCTAAAAATAATAACATGTGCCTCATTTCTTTTATTGCCTTCCTCAGTACAAATTAATTTTTATGGAAATGAACCAGAGCTTGTTATACTCCCTCCGTCCCATAAAGATAGGGACGGTTTGACTAAAGTGGTAAAATAAGGAGGGACCATTTTGTGTTGACTTTCCAAAAATATCTTTGATGTGATGGGTAAAAGTAGGATGTGATATGTAGATTATTAGGAAAAATGTATGATAGGTAGGGTATGAAAAAGTAAGGGGTAAAAGTGGTTTTTTAATAGAAATGAGAAGAACTTTTGGGGACACAATTTTTTTGAAACGTGAAGGACTTTATGCGACGGAGGGAGTACTTCAGAAGCTCCATGAATGTGTGTATATCAAGGATATAAATGTTAGGAGCTTAAATTGAAGAACAAAATCGCTAGAAACTTACACAGTTCTCATATATGGCTGAATATTAACGATCCATGGTCACTCTATTATTGCACAGCTTGCTGAATTTTAGCTTCAGATTGTTGAGAGAAAATACTGTAAAATTCTAACCTGAAAGTCAAAACGGAATGGACTTGTTGCACTAATTTTCATTATTTCTGTCACACGACCCAACTTTTTTGAGGCTGATTAGATATATGGTGAAATCCACTCATTGGTGGGGGCGGGATGGAACAGGTATTTTGACAAAATTGACCAATCTTTTGCATGTCAGCCTCATTCCCTCATACTTACTTTATTTGTGTTTGTTCAATGCTCTCTTGGTCACAATCATCTGTTATTTCTCTGCCAGAGGTGCTGGCAAATACATAATGGTTCCATTTATATTCTCACAATAAAATGATGTATATATGCTCCCTTTCTCTAAATCCTTGTTCACAAAGCACAGAAATCAGAGAATGGCTGAAGACCAATCAGTACTTGGAAGGCGGCGCATTTACTATGATCAAAATGGAAGCGAGGCACTAATCTGCAGCGACAGTGAAGAAGATAATGCAGAACCAGAGATAAAGAAACATTCATTCTCAAAAGGAGAGGATATGATTCTAAGGTACTTGGAATGTGATATTGATACCATGTGAAGTAAAATTTATAGTTTTACTATTCTTTTGTAAAAAATTGTGGCACCACTATAATATATCAGCTTGTGTTTTCTACAAAAAGTGAGCTTATTTTTATTCAGGTATCTGGCGAAGTGTGCACATTGTATTTCTATTACATCAGAAAAAATCACTAGGGGCAACATTTTTTTCTTTTAACTCTGTATTTTTTTGCCTTTAGTACAGTATTTACTGCTTAACCGCTTATGTTTTACTGCAATTTGCAGGATGGCTTTACAAGAGTACGGGATAAGTGGAAAGGTTCTAAGCATGTTGACCCAATTCATTGGAGGCTCCACTTCTGAAATCCAGGTAATCTGAATTTCTCTTCAGCATGGATCGAGTTCCACTCTCCCAGCCCCTCCCCCCCCCCCTCAACAGCTAAATCTTCTAAGAGTGATACCTGGCATCTGTTTTATGCTATTGTGATATGCGACACACAGGACCGGTACAATGTTCTTGAAGGAAAACATATGGAAGCAGAAAAAAACATAAAATCCTTGGAAGAAAGAGGATCTGAAAGAAAGCTGCTGCTGGAGAAAAGCCTTTCCACTGCCTTGGATTCTTTCGATAATCTTTTTTGTCGCCGTTGTTTGGTGTGTCATAAATATATTGATTTTACTTGATGTGGATGGTAGAAACTACAGTACATTCACTATATGTTGCCAGACAGTTAATAGCTTTTATTTGGAAACCAGGTGTTTGACTGCCGTCTACATGGCTGTTCTCAAGTTCTCATTGATGCTGTATGTGGGTCTCTCTATCATACCTGCTCTTATAGAACTTGTAGCTTCTTTCCATGAAACAAGTCTGAAAAAAAACATTTCACGTGTCAGAGTGAGAAGCAATCATACTTTCCTGATAAAGTTCACAGGAAACCCTGCAGTGATCAGTGTTATCTTCAGGTACGAGTAGTAGTTATTATCATGATGTTTCTGAATGCTATCCAATTCCTCAAGTTTTGGCTGTTCTGAAGGGAAAAAAAGGTGGGAATGTCTTGAATCATTCTGAATGTCTGAATGATTCTCTTGCAGCATAAATGTGTTATATAGTACTATCTACATTCTAGCAAATTACCCGTGATGCTTGAGTGATACAATGTGCAGTTTATTTTTCTCTATCTGCTTCTCCAGAGTAGCTTCTTTTTACTGACATCTTTTTCGATCCCTCTATGGGGATATGCCTCTCTGTTATTATAGTTCAAAGTCACTAGAATCTTACCTGGGGATCCAGCCACAGATCTACCTGGTAGATCTGAAAGAAAGATTTTAGAAAAGAAGACTGAGAATTTGGCCAGTCTCAATGCCGGAGAGCAAGGTAAAAGTGAAAGCAATAATTATTTTAATGATCTCTTTAAATATTTTCACGTATATTTTATTGTTATTTTTAAAATGTGGGTGGGTATGCGTGGAAAGTGTTTAGAGTTGCCACCTGATCACCGAGTCACTGACTTAGTTATTTAACAACATCCTACCCAGCATATTCCCACAAGGTGGATGGGTGCAAGCAAACCTCACCCATACCAAAAATGGTTGGGATATTGTTTCTGAAAGACACCGAGCAAGTTACTTAGTTATCTCACTTATCTGCTTTTCTTAATAGGTGATCACTCTGACAGCAATCCAAAACAAAAAGCATTAGATCCTATGTACCTAACCCCAGAAAACCATAAAGGGCATAAACTAGTTTCTGATGAACTACTACAAGATCCTCACAATAAGAAGCTGAAGTTGTCAGTTCCTAGTTCCATTGGCATGCCCATGGAATGTGTATCTGATGCAAATCATCCAAAGATGATTACTGATGATGTTGTTTGTGAGTCGCATAAGTGTTCATCGGAGTCAAGTAGTCGTTTAATCATGCCTGGAGACAATACCGAGGCCATTAATAAATGTAAAGAAGCAGCCACTTGTGACACTCCTAAGGGGGATCCAAGGTCTAGTTTTGGTAAAACGCTTCGTAAAGGCTTGCTTGGAATCCCTGATTGGAAACCACTTGAGAAAGAATTATATTTGAAGGGCATAGAGATATTTGGCATGAACAGGTACATGTTCTGAATTTCCATCCTTGGATGAAACGTGAATATCACTTTTCATCCTCACAACAACCAATATAGTAATTGATTAAAGCATATAATTTCCTATGCAGCTGCCTCATAGCTAGGAATTTACTCCCTGGTTTGAAATCGTGCATCGAAGTTTCAAGATACATGTATAATGATGGAGCACAAATGCATCCTGGATCCTCTGACATTCTCTGTTTCTTTTCCGATCACAACAGGGAAGCTCAATTGGATCAAATGGTTTGTGATCTATTCTTTGTGCTCCTTTTTTTTGTGAAACTTACTGTCAAGGGAAGTCTTTTAGCTTAGAAAATTTTAAAATCACACGTGTATTATACTTGGGCTAGGAGTTAGATATGCCAGCTAGATCCCGTCTTTTTCGTCGAAGGGGCAGGGCTCGTAAGCTCAAGTACTCAACAAAGTCATCTGGTCATCCATCATTGTGGAGAAAAGTTGCAGATGGGAAATATCAGTCCTGCAATCAATATAATCCATGTGGGTGCCAATCTATGTGTGGAAAGGAATGCACTTGTTTACAGAACGGTACTTGCTGTGAAAAATATTGTGGGTATGTTTAGCATATCTCTTGTTTGTTGAATGGAGTGTTGCCTATTGTTGTGAGGGCTTGACTTATACGCTGTCCATTTTAGGTGCTCAAAAGGCTGTAAAAATCGCTTTCGTGGGTGCCACTGTGCAAAGAGTCAATGTAGAAGTCGGCAATGCCCGTGCTTTGCTGCAGGACGAGAATGTGATCCAGATGTTTGCCGCAATTGTTGGGTTAGGTATTGGATGCCAATACAATACAATACTCTCGCCCCCTCCCGAAGTGTCATATTATATAGCATTTACTCCGTATATTATTACAAACATGATTGTTTTCTTGGATGGAGGTAATGCCATTTACTCATATCAGTCTATTCTGCATTGATTAATAGACGTTTCTCTTTGGAAAGTGCAGCTGTGGAGATGGGTCGCTAGGTGAACCTCCCAGGCAAGGAGATAGTCAATGTGGTAACATGAGGCTCCTCTTGAGGCAGCAACAACGGGTAACTGATACACATTTTCAAAATGGTTTATTATCGGTGTTAGTTTTATTTATTATTTGTAATATCGGTATTTGTTATTAGTATAACATCTAAGTTTTTTTTCTTCCTTTCTCCTGCCTTTTGTCGCAGATCCTTTTGGCAAAATCTGATGTAGCTGGGTGGGGTGCATTTCTGAAGGTATATAACCCTTTTTCGCTCCTCTCAAGAGACACTTTTCTTTTTAAAGTTATTAAACGTAATATTGTACTCTACATTTCTGTGCAGAGCCCCGTTAACAAAAACGATTACCTGGGAGAATATACAGGTGAATTGATCTCACACAGAGAAGCAGATAAGCGTGGAAAAATATATGATCGGGCTAATTCCTCCTACCTTTTTGACTTGAATGATCAGGTAGGTAACTGTTAGTAGTCATGTTTATTACAGCTTTACTGGTCCATTTCGTTTGAACTGACGTAGTAGTGAGGAAAATGTAAAAGAAATTTGCAAGAAAATCCCAACAGTTTCAAAATGAACGGAGTATTAGCTTTCTGATATTTTTTCAAAATCGTCTTATTTACTAAATAAATAAAAAAGCGCAATAACGTTGTGTGTGGACCCAAACTTAGGCTAAAAATATGAAATATGTGTTTTGGGTGGGTGCAGTATGTGCTTGACGCATACCGCAAAGGAGACAAGCTGAAATTCGCCAATCATTCCTCAAATCCGAACTGCTATGCGAAGGTACACAACAAATATATCATTTGGGTTGGATGGATCATTAATTCAAATATACTGCATCAAGTCTTTGGTTCTTCAGCATCATATGCCATACTACACTGCATGTCAATTATTGTACAGGTGATGCTGGTGGCTGGTGATCACCGGGTTGGCATCTTTGCAAAGGACCGCATCGGAGCTAGCGATGAACTTTTCTATGATTACCGGTATGGGCCTGATCAGGCACCCGCATGGGCTCGCACCCCTCCCCCTCCTCATCCCTTGAAGAGAGATGGTTCGCCATTACCCCACCTACTTCGTGCCAAGAAGCATGCCCAAACTCTTCTTCATTACACCAATTAGTGTTATGATACTCCCTTTTAACATGCTTCTTCTTTGCTGTATTATATTGTTAATAAAAATAATAGTGTAAATTGAATCAATAAATAAAGATGAGCCCAAATTCATGAGAGTTCACTCTTCCCTGCCTTTTATTCCCCTTCTATTTTTATTGCTCCGTATTTTCTTGTGAATGTACTGTTGTGTATCATTTAAAAAAATGGTATTAGAGGCTTTGATATCTGGGAGTACGTTCAATCTTTACCATACATTGTATTTTGCAAGAGTAAGAGTAACTTCAAAGACAACTAGAATTTTAAAGTTTATTGCCACAAAATAGACAATCCTATTGCATGAAGTTCACACTTCACAACAAAAACCCAAGAAAAACCAAATCTATGCACAACAAGATACCCCTTAGAGGAGATTACTGGGGAGAGACACCGAACCAAATGAAACACAAAGATAAGTAACAATCAACGACAACAATGGACTAATAATGGAATAAATGACATAGTCACATAGGAGAAGAAGCCTAGAACTGGAGCATATCAGCAGAAGCAACAATGGGCAGTGTTGGGCAAGGCAGCTGCCATGGCTCGAGCAAGACATCAGGAATCTCGGGGATATCCACCACAGTCTCATTAACATCGGCCCAGAGTTGGAGGATGGCATTCATTGACTGCAACCGGTCAGCCAGTTCTGCACATTGAGCCCTCAGAACATCATTCTCAGCAGAAATCGCTGCAAGCCCTTGAGAGACTGCGTCGATTTTCTGGTTGCAAGCAATCTGCTCCTTCTGCAGCAGAGCTCTCTGGGCGCACAATTCCTCGACGTGCTGTTGTTTCCTCATCCTGGACCTCCTCGCCGACTCGCGATTTGATATCATTCTCTTCCTCTTCTTTTCATCATACATGGCATAGCGTTGGTCCACATCAGATGATGAATTAGAGCTTGCGGGCTGATGTTGCATGGAAGAAGCCATTGCTTCGTCTCTCCAGTAACAAGATTTTTTTTTATTGTAGGATTGGGTCAACTATTTGTAATTTAACAGCAGATTGAGGGAGGAAGATATTAGGGATTTTTATAACAGGGAAGAAAGAAAGAAAGAAAGAAAGAGTACTAAAGGAGGGTCAGTTCAGTTAACGAGGAGTGAGAACACGTAGAACCAGTAAAGAAAGACAACTGAGAAAGAGTGGAGGATACGGATTCGACGCATTAGGACAGATTTCATATCTGGGATGGAGAAATCTACGTCGGGTTGTCAAAAAGTAAGCATAGTTTGATGTACATTGATATATACGAATGAACAATCAACCCGGAAAAAAAAGGAATGTGAAGATGGAGAGAACAGGCTTCAAACTGTTAGATCTGCGCATAAAAAACAAGACAAATGCATCAGCCACAAACAAAAACGCACGGATGAATTGGATCACAAGTAATGAAGCGAATCAGCAACCAAGTAAATCAACGAATTCAAGTGAACCAGAGGATAGGGCAAGCGAATTCATGCAATCAAAGTTGGATAAATCAGAAACACCAAAGTCAAGACAATCTAGAACGCCAGAATTTACTAAATCATAAACCCTAAGGAAATAAGCAACAGCAAAATTAGATTATACTGAAGCAGCAGCAGAACTAGAAATCTTGCAACAAGATAAAAATAAAAAATGCATTATAAATCATGATGGGAGGAAGAAGAAGAAGAAAAAAAGATAAGAAAAAAAGGGATTCTTACCGGAAGAAGGAGAAAAGAGGCCGCCTTTGATAATTTCGATGAAAGAATGGAAAGAAACAAAGGATTAGGATTTAGGAGGAGGGGGGCGGATAAGACACGGTATTTGTAGGCGGAGGTAAGCCGTGGACAGCGGCTTCTCGTTTTGGTAGGTAGTAGGTGCCATTATTTTTTATCCTTATTTTCTAAATCTTCTGAAAAGATACTCCTTCCGTCCGGTAATTTTCTTCCCGAGTTGACTTTGCACGCCTATTTAAAACTAATTAGAAATACATAAAGTTTCCAAAAAAACCCCTAGTTTAAAAGCAATAAAGAATACCAATAAAGTTAAGGGATGGAGCTGATTCATTTTCCCAATACAAAAAAGGACGGCACATTCATTTTCCCAATACAACTAAGGACAGCACAACTCTCCTTGCATGCAGTTCAATCCGCCACCAGAAGCATCTTGAAGATGTTCAAGAGGAGTTTCAGGAATAATAGAGAGAAGATATATATATCCTCTGTTTCCATTGAAATTGAAAGACTTTCCTATTAAAAAAATGAAAGAAGATGTGTGAAAAAATTGAAAGAAGATGAAAAAGATGAACAGGATGGAGTAGAAGAGAGAAATAGAGTGGGAAGAGAGATAAAGTGGGGATTGGTGAAAGAAGATGAAGAAAACAAACCGTAGAGAGTAGAAGAGAGAGAGATTGGGGATAATTGAAAGAAGATGAAGAAGATAAAGATGTGAGATACGGAGTGGAAGAGAGATAAAGTGGGGAAGAGAGATAAAAGGGTGGGGCGTGACATCATTGCATTGTGTGTGAGGGTATTATAGAGATTTACAATTAAAAAGTAAGTTAAAAAAGGAAATGGAAAGAATATTTTCGGACGGATAAAAAAGGAAAATGGGAATAATATTTCCGGACGGAGGGAGTACTCCGTAAAATCCTCCCTCCTTTCTAAAAAAAACTTTTTTGTTTGAATAACATGCATACTCCGTATTAATAAGATACGGAATATTATAATTAATAAATTTTGATTACAAATTAAATAAAAATAATATTAAATATTTTGTAAAATTCATTTTTGACTTGTTTTAATTATAATTAATAAATTTTGATTAGAAATTAAATAAAAATAATATTAGATATTAATATAAAAATAATTTTATTATATTTGTTTTATAAAATATATTTTATGTAATTATAAATTAAATGTAGTCATGTTTGATTCCTGGGCAAAAAAACTAACAAACCCTTAGAATGAGATTATAATTTTTGGAAAAACTAAAAAGAAAAGAAAAGATTTTTAAAATAACTCTAAATAGGAGCAAAGCATAAGAAAATCCCAAATTAGAAGCTACATGTTTTTATCCTCAAAATATGAATTCGCACTCGGATAATATGACACTGTATATGGACATTTCTGAATACTTTTTGGCAATATACATAGTCATTATGATTGACGCTCTAAATGGATTTTAACTCATATTTCGAAAATAAAAATATGAAAATCTTATTTTGTTGTATTTTCAATATTTTACTCATACATTACTCTTTTTCTCAAAAAAAAAAAATTGGACAGATGAGATATTGTAAATCATATACTGTAAACTTTTTCGTACCAAAAAATATATACTCCGTGTATACTACCTGCACGCTGCATTCCAAAATAAAAGTCTAAGTATGGCTTATGATAGTTTCTAAAATTTGTTTTTAACTCTATTTATTTCAAAATTGATGTAAATTTAAAAATAAAATTTATATATTCAAAAATTACTTTAAAAAGTTATGTAAAAGAAAAGATAATATGATAGTGCAGTATAGTTGGTCAAACTACTGATGAAAATATGTAATAAAAAATAAAAAATATATATACTAAAGTAATTTTTTAATATAATAAAACATAATTTAACCATTCAAAAATTAGAGTTTTATTACAAGAAAAAGTTAATATTATTAAAAAAAGATTATTCGACATTTGTCTCAAATAAAACTCAAAATTAGACTTCCTATCATCATCAATCAAACATGACTACATTAGTGAGCTAAGGAGTAGACTTCCTATCATCATCAATCAAGAGAGAAGTTAATTTACTACTCTCATTGAATATTTGTCTATATTTAACTTTTTGTAGTGAATTATTTTTAACATTTGACTTGGTCAATGTGTTTAAACATCATATCAACAACAACTTCATAAGGCATGTACTCCTTTTATTTTCGTTTATCATTCAGTGAACAAAGTAGCACGCACTCTTCCTCAGGCTATTCCTTCACTTCACTTCTGAACACTGAGCTGAGACATGACTCTATATAATTATTAGTGGATAATTTTTGTTTTTCCAAAAAAAAAAACAATCTTGAGCAAACCCATCTAGGCATGAATTGAGGTTCAAATACTCGGTATTACACTATTTATCCCCAAAAAAATTCAGTTTATGGTTTATGATATTTTATTAAAGTTATTTTCTATTTCAATTATTTAATAATTGGTTAAAATTTAAAAAACAAAACTTATATATTTAATTCTATGTTAAAAGTTGTACAAAAAATGAATTGATAGGACTATATTATTTTTTCAAATGAGTAACAAAAATAAATAAAATTTAACCAAATATATAATACGCATGATTACGAAGATTATAATTTATATGAACATTTCATTATCAATGTTTTAATTGGTGTTTAAACCAAGTACATGCGGCTAGTAAATTTTTATTATCCATTTAGCATTGACATTAGGTCAAAGTTTGGGACAAACAAATAATGGCAACTTTTCAATTTTAATGTTAACTATATATAAGAGGTACCATAATTTTTTTTAAAGTTGTACCATTAATTTATTATTTAAAATTGTAATGTTAATAAACTAATTTACAAACACAATTTTAAATTGCATAATCATTCTATTAGTAACAATGGATTTATTGTCAGTGTAGAGGCTAAAATAATTGCGAATTGGAACGAAATAAACGGCAGGGGACAAATGCCCCGCGGCGGGTGTCATTTGGGCAGTGTTATTATAGATGCAAGCAAATTCTTACATTACTGTTACCAATTTACTCCGTATTTATTTTATTATCAATTCTACAAAAAAAATCAATAAAACAAAAAAGAAATTCGGAGAGCACGTCGCCACGCCACCCAGCTCCCGCGGTTCCTATTTCCGGCACGGCACCGAAGACACCCAAAAGAGGCTTCGCCGCCGCCGCCGCTCTCTCAAAACATTGCTGCGCTTCCGTGACCTTGGGAGCCCGACTCGAGAGCTGAAGATGCAAAACCAGCTCTATGTGGAAACCACCAGACTTGCCCTATAATCTCTGGTTTAAGCAACCATCGCTGTAAGCTCAGTGATCCGTTTCCTTTTCATTATTCGTTCGTCTTTTTGCTTCTAACGGCAATACAATTTTGACTTGCCTATCATATACTACTCAGATTTAGCTACAACTAAAATCCCTTTGATTTTAAAAGCAAAATAGCATTGGAAAGTCAACTGATGATAGGGAATTCCACGCATTTTCTATGTATTTCGTTTCTTCACGCCTGAATTTAGTCAATTGAGCTACCCTGAAATGGATCGTGCGCCAGTTATTCGTTTCTGTTTCATTAGTTTGCGTTTTTTATTAAAAAATATATTTGGGGATTGTTGATCCACCTCTCCTGTTTACGTATTACACGTGTTCAATGATTTCAATTCAAGGCTCAGTATTTCCTATTTGTCTCAGTCAACATAATATGAATGCTTATTGTCCAACAATGTACGTTTTTCAGCCTAATAGATGCGTGGAATGGAGCTCTTAATCTTGTTCACAAATTCACTCGACATTGGATTGTTAGGTTGCCTATTAAAAATTCATGCACATCGTTTACTTACTTTTACAGTGTTCATTATTGTTGTTCTACGAGGTTTGAACAAAAGGAACCATAGTAATTGTGTCAAATAAGATCCTTTGTTTATGCAAACTCATTCATCATCTTGAGCTTAAGCAAGCTCAGTTCTAGGTCAGTTGTGCATGTATTTTTTTGGCTGTGAGAATATGGAAATGATGCCAGGCATTGCCTAAATGCTTCATACCTTTTCCTTTCTATTTGTATCTTGACTTGTTTTTCACTACTTTTTACTATCAAGCTAGTAAATACATTATATCATATTTTGTAACCCTAGCCTCATGTATTTCAAAGGAACACTTGAAATGATTATCTACTGGTTTAGCTGCTGAATGAAAGACGAATCTTGCAAAGGAACACTTGATGTACATTTCCTAATGAAACTTGATGCACATTTCTTACTGAAACTTAGACTCTCTTTTTTAATTAACAAAAGATGAACTTTTAGCTGCTTTTTTTCTTGATGACAAATCTTGATAAGTTGTTCTATATTCATCCAACACGCTGGCCTATGGTTTCAGATGCAAATGCCAAGGGACAGTAACAGCTGCCTCGGGTTGTAAGTTAAAAGGATGGATTATGGTAAATGTACATCAATTACCAAGGCTCTATCTTTAAATATTGCACCAAGTTTTCTGAACCAGATGCATACAAAAACACAATTTGAAGAGCATGAAAGAGCTTCTGAGCTTGCCAATACAAAGGATGTTGACATTGATAGTAGAGAAATATATTTTCTAATTATGCATTTCTTATCATCTGGGCCATGCCATAATGCATTGGGGAAATTACATGATGCACTTTTGGAACATGAGCTTCTACCTAGGAGATACCATGCTTGGTATTCACGAAATAGAGAAAATGGCGGAACACATAATGATGATGGGTCATCTTTCCCTTTGAATTATGATAGCCTTGCTCAAAGGTATGTTCACTATTTGCTTATTGAATTCAGGAGAAACTCATAAAAGTCATGGATTTTGGTATTCTTTTAGCTTACCTTATAGTGTTTGTTTATGGCAATCATTATTTCATCCGTCCAAAAATAAACTTTACACCTTTCTCTTTTGTCCATTCCAAAATGAACACACTTTTTCCTAATTTCCCTTTAAGGAAAGGAATGTATAACTCACAACATGTCTGTATCTTCTAATTAAATTCTACCCACATATTTTTTTTTCTTTTCAACATTTTTCTTAAAATCCGTGAAGTCAAACAATGAAGTTTATTTTGGGACTGAGGGATTATTTGTTTTTATGCCTTCATGCATGCATGTTGTATGCATGTTTGTTTGTCCTTGGTTTTTTGTGTCTAATTCTCTCTTGATGCGATTGAACTTATGGACTCAGTTGATCAATTAGCAATTGGATTGCAAGGAATAATAATTATATAATCTTTGTTGTATAGAAGTGATTTAATGTGTTTGTTGTTGTTGTCATTACAATTAATTATTTTAGAATTTAATAGTCTCTGAAAAACATTTTGTAATAACTTATGACCCTATTTTCTATAGCTGGAGATAAATCAGTTTTTACTTCTATATATAAACCAGATGGCCTAATTGCATTATATTTACCATCTCAAATTTTTCTATTAATAGGTATTCACACATTCAAAAGGATCACTTGGTAAAACTGCTTAAGCAACTGATAATTAGTTCGCCTCCTCCATTACATCATATGGGCAGAAATACTCCTAGTGCTGCGGATGTACCAACTCTTCTCGGAACAGGGCCGTTTTCCCTTTTATCTTGTAGGTGATGTTTATCATTGTGATTCATCTGTATAAACTTTACACTTCTCACATTTCTTTTTTAAAGAAGGAATATGTGGCTCCCAACATTTCTCTCTTCTAAACAATTTCCAACAACACTTTTTCACTTTTCAACACATTTCCTGAATTTCCGTGTAGACAAAGCATAAATTTGTTTAGGGTACGAAGGGAGTATTATTCTTACTTGAAAGAACCAGCATCTTGGAAACCTGGATTTTATTTTTAATTATTTATATCTTGTATGTGTTTAGTTATTTTTTTATCACAACATTTTTACAACTTATCTTTGGTTTTCATTTTTTCTTTAAATATTTTACATTTTTACTACCACATGTAATCTTGATTAATACATGAAAAAGAAAAACCCTGACTAGAATATCAAACACTTATATTAGTTATATATATCCAGCAGTTTCTTACATCACTATGTTTATTGCTGGTAATATATGACACAGGTGATAAGCATATAGCAAGCACAAGAGGAAAACATCCTCCATCATACCTTCGTTGGCCACACATGCACGCTGGTCAGGTGCATGGTCTTTGTTTGAGGGAAATTGGAGGTGGTTTTGCAAAACATCATCGTGCTCCATCGATGCGTTTTGCAAGTTATGCTATTGCCAAGCCATCGACTATGGTGCAAAGGATGCAGAATATCAAGAGACTAAGGGGACACAGGGATGCTGTATACTGTGGTATGACTTCAATTATTCCGGTGCTATCCAACTTTTCCATCAGTTCCAATTTCAGCGGGGAAAATTCCAATCTTTATGGTTCTTTATTGCATTGTGCATTGTCAATATGGATCTTAGTCTATTCTAATTTATAACAACTTTTGATGTCACATTGCAATGTAGGTATTAGTAACTAGTTAAAAACCACTGAAAATTATTTTCCAATATATTTTGAAGCTATATTTGATCGCTTGGGTAGATATGTGATAACTGGCTCCGATGATCGCCTGGTCAAGATTTGGTCTATGGAAACTGCATTTTGCCTGGCTAGCTGCCGTGGACATGAAGTAAGTTAAAATATACTCCGTGATACAATTACTCTAATGTTTGATTTAAATTTTAGTACATTTGTTTTCTTCATCATGCTTGACTTTATAAATAGTTTATTGTGTCTTCCTGCTAATAGGGTGACATCACTGATTTAGCTGTCAGTTCAAACAACGCACTAGTGGCATCTGCTTCAAATGACTACACAATTCGTGCTGTAAGAACATTCTCCCACTGAGTAGAGAGACTCTCTTTTGATGCATGTAAATAGTTTATGCCCCCTCTATTTTTTGCAATCTGCAAAGTATTTGAAATTATTCTTGTTTTAAACCTAAACTACAGTAATGGCTTATAGTTACCTCAAGGAAATTTGAATGGGGCATAATTTTATCATATTTTAAAACTGGGAAGACATTTTCAGGACGGTGAATTAGACGATATAAGTTTTTTAACTATAACAAATTGGAGGAATCCAGTCCCATTTGGTTTAAGAACAAAAGCACGATATAAAACATTTTTTATCCACTTATCAGTAG